ACTCAAAGAAATTTTTTTCATAAAGACAAAATCCCACAGTGTAGAACATATGACTGAAGCTAGGGTGAAAATATTTGAGCAGATGATCATACTAAACAAACATACCTTTCTGACTACCATCCTTATGAAAGGATGTCTTAGGAACATAAAAACGCTCCAAAATTTCAGTCTAGGTGCAGAAAGTTTGGTTGTCAATTTTGTAAATAAACACCACAAATGATTGATTTGTTTGATCCATAAGGGATCAAATATTTTCAAAGTCAGAAAGGCTGCTGATGGAGCCAAATGGTCTCAAATGAGTTCTTGCTAAAACCCTCCAGAGAAAGCTCATCACCATAGGGACATACTGGCTACAACACTAAAAGAACACTTGTGGAAAACTTTGCTAGCATAGCAGGGAATGTGGCAAGATGGCACTGCTTGGAATCATCAAAATCTAATAAAAATTATAAAGATGGGACATTAACAGATATATAGTCCTGTGGAACTATGTTACTATCTCCAAAAAGAGTTCACAAAATTTGCATTTCCTATATGGGTTGTAAGTGTGTACTAGTTAGGATTTATTTTCACTGCATACATGAATTGAAACAGTGGCCTCCAGATAGCTATAATTCACCATGGCTAAAAATCAGTGAGATTTTTGTTCCCTACCTCTGTCACTTCATTACCTACTTATCTATTTATATCTATATTCATACATATAGGCATATTTTTTCTAAGACAGTTATGTAAGCATTTGTCCTTACTCAGAAATTTCACTTTTATCATCACCTATCATATGAAAATGTGGAAATAGCAAACAGAGAATAAAACTGAAATGAATTACTGCATCAGACATGCTTGAACTCCCAGGGCCTATATTATACATTTCTTCCTTAAGCTCTCATGGCCCTGCTTTTTCCCCACATGCAAAGCCATAGTTTTCTTGCTATGCTCTGGTCACCATTAGGCACATGTCACTCCCAAGTCATACATATCCCTTTCTTATATAGACATAGGAGATACATAAACTCATGTTACTCCATCTTTCATCAACATGTCAACAGGTTGCAGTTCCTGGATTTTCATTTAATCACCTTTACATGACCTAAAACTGAATCATTTCGTATCAGAGAACAATGTGGAGAAATATGCCTTTGAACCTGTGGAAACAACCTCATTAGATGCCATTTAATACCAGTTCAGAAAATAAAGTTCAAGGAATTGATCCTTGGTTTCATTTTACTAACAACTGTGACACATCTATCCTTAAATGACAGGTATCAAAAGTAACTCACTTTAACAATCTTAATGAAGCTTCTCCAGAGTGTTTCCATAAGCAGACAGTCCATAGGAATTTAGTCCTAACCCAAGATCCTTATCACAATAATGCACTTTCGTGAAGTAGACCATGCATCTAAGACTATCAAAACAGAATGCTGAAGATAATAGGAATTACTGATTGTCATATTCTCTTTTGCAGTACTTTGTTTCTTTTACTTTTCATTTTCTCACTTTAATTAAAGAATGCTATATATTTTTAGTTTATATTACTTTATTATTTTAATAATAAAATAAATATTTTGGTGTAGGCTTTACATGAGGCAATCACCGCACTAAAGCTAAAATTCAGCTCTACAAAGTCATTGCTGGTGCAACAAACCTAAAAAAACTGTCGATCATACCATTCAATGTTACTTCTTGAAAATTCCAAATAATAACCCAGCCCTCAATTTATATAGGTAAAATGAATTTTGATTAATAAAATTAGGCTGAAAATGTTAAAAAATGATGACTTAGAGTGCATGGCTCACCCTGATTATATGAATCGGTGTAACCTCATCTGAATCTCTCCATTTTCAACTGCCACAATGGCTTTTGACTATGTTATTTTGTTTATATTTTGGAAAAATAGAAGTCAAATATCCAAGGAAATTTAAACACTTCAACTGATGTTTTAAAAATGGCACAAAAAATTTAACATGTGCTTTCTCTAACCAAGACTTAGGCTCCTTAAAAGATTATATATCCTGTGGTTCCACTCATAACATTATAAAAAGATAAAATTAGAAAAGAATAGATGAAGGTTTGCAAGGACTTGGGATGAGAGGGTGTGATTACAGTAGGAGCACCTAAGGGATTCCAGAGTGATGACACTTTTCTGTGTCGTGAACCTGCAATGGTTACTCAAATCTATTCTGTGTGTTGGGCTAGGATTGTGGCTCAGCAATAGGACTCTCCTAGCACAGGTGGAACCTGGGTTTGATTCTCAGCACCACATAAAAAAATTAAAAGGTATTGTGTTATGTCCATCTACAAATATATATATATATATACATATATATATGTATATATATATATATTCTCTCTCTCTTTAAAAAACTTTTCTGTATCCTATAATTCAGTAGTCTCAGAACTGTACACCAAAAGTGTTAATTTTTCTATTTAATATTTAAGAATAAAAATTTAAAACACTGAGTAAATACAATAATTCTTGTTTCTTTTCTTCTGACTGGACTCTGCATAATACGAATATTATTTTCTCAACATGAAAAAGAAAAGCTCCAGTTATGTCAACTGTTGTAGGAAAATAACAGCTCCCATCCAAAATTTAGGTTGGCTGATTCCCTGTTACCTTATATGAAAATTGAATAAAGGCAAAAACCCCAAAAGGGGAGAGTATCTTACATTGGATGAGTCTTAAATGCACTCATGTGCTCCTCCCTCTCAAAAAGAGGGAGACTTGACAATGAGAGGAAGATGCCAGGGTGATGATGGAGACAGAGTCAGGAGGAGGCAGCCACAAGCTCAGAAATGCTGACACCATCAAAGATGAGAGAGGAGATTTCCCATTCCAGTCCAGAGAAACTGATTTCAGCATTGGCCCTCCAGAACCAGGAAAGGAAAAATATTTCTTATGTTTTAAGCCCCGAACTTTGTTATAGAGGCAAAAGAAAAAACATATACTAACCATGTTGTGGGTTAAAACTTAAATGTGTTTGGATCTGAGATAACTGGGTACTGACCCTTAACATTGTGGCTAGAGATGTTTTTGTTTTGTTGGGTAAATTGTCATTTTCATAAGACGTAGCAGTTGAGCCAACGATAATTACACCCTCTCCCTTATAACCAAGAAGTAAACCAATAAAATGTAAGCCTTGCTTCCCTCTCCAATATTAGTCTTGGGGAAACCAATCAATCAAGAGTCAATATGTTTCTTCAATACAGGAGCTAGTGATAAATGGAGAGATTTAAAAAAAATGCCAGATGAGACTTGGGCTACAATACTGAACTTTCTTGTTCAGATTTCTTACACTTAATTTATTCTAAAAACAATAATTATAAGCAAGTTAGCTGATAACCAATGTTCATAATTCAGCCAAGGGAGATCATTGTCACCATACCAATCCTCACTTACAACCATTGTTAGGAAGAGATGGGGGCTCTTGAACTGCAACTACCTTTGACTAGAGGTGGAAAATTAGGGAATTAATTATTTACATAATTTATTTTTTGTGAATTTATTAACAACACTAAAAGATATACATTTTTTAAAACATGCTAGTGACAATAATGTTAGATTTAGTTAAAACATGAAGCAAAGACAGGATTGTAACAAGCTATCTGTAAATTAACCACTAACCAAATACCTTCTGTTACCCACTATTAAGAGTAGAGTAAGGCGGTCGGAAAATATGTATAAAATGTTTTTCATGTATACCAGAAATAAAGATAAAGGAGCAATAAAGATTAGATATTGAGGAATAAATTTAGCTGTGCTTAAAAAAATGGAAATTTATAAAGAAAGTCTTAGATAAGTGGAAATAAATAATATTTATTTAAAATAAATTGCACTGTATATATTTGAGTTTCATAAAAGGATGTTATAGGACACATAAATAGTAAAGTCTCCGTAGACTAAAACAAATAAACATACCTGCAGTTTTACATAGTAACTCTTTTGTGTGTTTTAGACAAGAACTTCTAAAATCTACTTATTTGACAAAAATCCCTACTACATTATAATTTCATTAACTAGGGTCTTTATATTAAACAGATCTCTGAGCTTGTTGATCCCATATATCTATTTCTTTGTATCCTCTGATCAAATACTAACAACAGATTAGTGACAGAATTATCAATTTCATATTTTACATAAATTTAATATTTGGCATATAATGTTTTGTCATCAGAAAAAAGTAATAAATACAATTACCTAAAGAGCCAAAAGCCCACACTTAGCAAGGATTATGAATGTGATATTAAGAAGTTATTTTTATGAAGGAGTTCTGAACTTTAAATGTAGGCTCATCATTAAAGCCTGTATTTGAAGAAGATGCATCACTAATTAATTACTCTTAAGAAACTATTAATCACAGTCTTAGGATTGCTGAACACATGGCAATGCCTTGTTCGGGGTGCCCAGAGAGGGCATGGAAGCTCCTTTCCCCTTGCACCAGACTTCATCCTATGCATCTCTATCCATCTGTTTATATTTCACTATGTGTATGTATGTTGAAACATCATGATGTATACCTTAAATATATAATTTAGAAATAATTATTAAACAACAGAATATTATTAAGCCAACAAAATATTCTAACTTATTCTGGATCATTATGAACCTAACCTTGTTATTACACGCTTTTAATATTAAAATGCTAGTTTCCACTTGCAAACAAACAATATGACAAGTGTTATACTTGAAAGTTTGTGGTAAGGGAAGCAGGTGGGGCTTAGCCCAGTGGCAGGTTTGAGTACAGGCTGAAGGTGTCTGGGAAGCATCGTGTACTGGCTGCACAGAAGTAGACAGCTGAGTCTCCAGGCTGGGTGGCTGTGATGTTCAGGGAGAAGTGTTTGGCTTTCTTATCCAACACAACAATGAATCTTTGGACTTGATTTATCTCCTTATTTGAACGAATGTCTATAACGATACTGAGACCTTTTCCAGTTTCTTGCTTATACCAAGGGAAGTAAGATGAACGACTGTCTGAGTAAGTATAGTTGATAACAGCACTATCTCCCTCCAGGACACTCAGGGTAGAAGGGTGTTGCTCCACCTTCTCTCCTCGGCTCACACCTATGTGGAAAGAAAATGGAAAAAAAAAAAGAAAAGATAATGTTAGCATGTCATTACTGTTCAGAATTTTTTCTTCAATAACTAGGGAAAAGCTGCATAAAGCCAGTCTTCTTCCCAGATATGTAAAGAACATCTACTATTATACCCTGTTGCCCCCAAATTCTCAACTCACAATTCAGATGAAGCCACAAGACCATGAATAAAGAAGGAGTAGAGATCTTCATTGTTCTTTTCAATTAAGATTAATCCAGACTTGCAATCTATCCAGGAGAGCTACTTCTGTTACCTGTTGTTACATTTAATTCTGTAACAATTATAGTGGCTTCTCTTATTGTCTACCCAGCCAATTAAAAAAAGAAAAACAGGTTTATTCATTCAGAATCCACTGCATGAACCCACCACCTATTGTGCACCAGCTGAGGTAGACTGTCCCCTGGTGGTCACATCCTTAACTACTTAACTCTGGTGAGTCCCTTATTAGGAACTCAGAGATTAAGTAGAAGTAAGTCTTAAATCAGAGATTATATGTAGAGATCATGTCATTATTAATAAACTGTAAATAGGTAGAAGATATTGGTATTTATTAAACAATGGGCTGAGTTTACATGTTTGAAGTTAAGGAAACATCATAATTCATACTCTTAGACAAAGAAAAAATACTTTCTTTTTCTGTCAAATCTACTTTTAAGAATTGTCCATTGCAGAGAAAAATTCTTCTGAAAAGGAACATGTAAGCCAAAGATCCGGATAAATGAAGCAAACATTATCTCAGACTCTACTCCTCCAAGCCTGGCCTTGTTCGTAACCTTGGCATTACCAGAGAATGAGCAGTACCATTAATCCAACCATGGCATCGACCTTCAACAAAGATGACAATGAAAAAAAGTAAAGATAATTTCTTAATGATAAGGATCAGAGTGATAAGTTCTCGATTTATTAATACTTCAAATTTGGAAACAGTTTGATCTATGGATTGGGTTGATTTGCAATGATGAATCTGATGCTTTAAGAAATCTTTTCCTATTTCTGTGTGGCTTGTATTATTCAAAGTCCTAAAAAAAGTTTCTCAAGAAATATCAAGCTATAAATTCAAAATCTGCAACCACATCTAAGTTTTTCATGTTGTAATTTTCTGCTATCAAAATGGATATGTCCTTAGATGCAGTGACTGAATTATATTTTTCCTGGAGTTTTCTCTAGCCTATGAACCAATCCTCCTGGTATGAACTTCTGCTGCCTTGATCACTGATTTTTCTCCCAAATTAAACTATGATGCTTTCCC